GATATTGACTATTTTATTGGTTAAGTCAAATGAAAAACCTTCTGGGAATTGCTTTTTTACAGGGTGAATTGTTTTATTCTTTCGAATAGTTTTCCTTATTTAAAACAAACAAAGCATTTAACGAACAATGTGTTCAAATAATTCTTAATACTCAAAAAAAATGAATTTATATGAAATGATTTGGATTTCGAAATTAAATTCAACCGTTTTGAAGAAAAACCATTTAAAATTATTTTTGAATCGTATTTTTAAGAAAAATATTTATTTGAAAAGACAAATTATTTCGAGAAAATTTTTATCTGAAACTTTTGATTGTAGCATCTTCATTTAACCAACCGAAGTTTTGTCCAACAGCAGTTTGGAATCCATATGGAATTGCTTTTGCTAATCAAAAAACAATTGGGAAAAATCCTCGCGCCCTTTTTATTAATATAAACAACACAATTTACACAGTTAATCAAAAGAAGAAACAAATCTTAATGTGGATTAACAACAGAACCAAACCAAATAAGATTACTTCTGACAATTCCTTTAGTTCATCGTCCATTTTCGTTACAAATAATGGTGATATTTATTATGATAATGGTTATTTGAATGGTCGAGTTGATAAATGGATATCAAATACAACTACTTCTGTTAATGTCATGAATGTTAATTCATCATGTGATGGTCTCTTTATCGATATTAATGATACTTTATATTGTTCAATGTATTTGCATAATATAATTGTGAAAAGATGGTTAAATGATAATGAAATGAATACGACAATCGCAGCTGGAACAGGTTTTAATGGTGATGCTTCGGATGAACTTGATGGTCCTTGGGGAATCTTTGTTGATGTAAACTTGGATTTATATGTAGCAGATTGTTTCAATGATCGAATTCAATTATTTAAAAACGGAGAATCAAATGGAATAACAATAGTTGGAGAAGAATCATCAAATAACATTATTGATCTCTATGGTCCAACAGGAATTGTATTAGATGCTGATAAATATCTGTTTATTGTCGATCAAGGGAATAGTCGTATAATTAGAGCGGGATCAAATGATATGCAATGTATAATTGGATGTGATAAAGAAGGATCACAATCCCATCAATTATCAAATCCAACAACTCTTAGTTTCGATAGTTATAGAAACATATTTATTACTGATACTGAAAATAGTCGCATTCAAAAATTCGATTTCTTATCGAAT